AATTATTATAAATAAAAATTAAATTAAATATAAAGTTAAAGAATTTCTAACTTATTAAATAAAATTTCTTAAAAATGCTTTTACACAAAATAACAGTTTGTGTTTTATATAAGAATTGATGATATAATTTAATTAATTGATTTGATAAGAATATAAATTTATTTTAACTATATAATTTTATATTTCAAGTTTTAGATATATTAATATATAATAATCATATACTTGTTATATTAATTTTATAACCAGTAAACAGAAATGACAATGGTTTGTATAAAATAAATATTAACTATAAAAAAATATTATGTTTAAAGTTAATTGATTATTTATAATTTTGATTTATATAATTATTTATTTTATTTATTGTATAATAAAAATTATTATGATTTATAAGTAAACTCAGTATTATGAAATATCATATATTGAGAATTCATATGTGAATTTATGTGAAATTGACACGTATATATAATTGACATGTGACATCTAATCTTGATCTATAAATTTGTAAATGTATGTATATAAGATATAATATGAATTTTATAACAATAAAATTATTTATTTAGGTGAGAGATCTGGTTTTTATATGATAAAGTTTACTTAAATTTATTATATTTATTAATTTATATTTACATTAAATTTCAACGGATTAACCATATATAGAATAAGTTTATTTTTTTAAAAAAACTTTGAAATCTATATTGTACATTAATTTGAATTAATGAAATAAAATATTAATTAATTTTTGAAATTTCGTTAATAGTTGTTTTAAAAAAATCTAAACAAGTGTTTTTTTTTTTAAAAAAATTTATTTAAGAAGCAGACATGAGTTATTTCTTAAAAAAATAGAAAATTACTTATTTAAAAAAAATAAGTTTAAACAAATGCATAAAAAAAGTGTTTATTTTTATTTTAAAAAAGAAGTGCTTTTATTGGAAAAAAAAAGTTTAAATAAATAGACCGATAATCTATTAAAAATAAATATCCAAATAATAAGAAATTATTTTTAAAATTTTTATAAAAAAATTCTTAAAATAATTCAAAAATAATCTTTTAAAATGAAGGTTATTTTTCATTTAAAAAATGAAACAAAGTTGCCCTGAATACTGTGTACCTAAAGGTGTACAGTAAAATTGAAGTCTTTTTAGACACAGTTTAAAAAGATTTTGCTACTAAAAATAAAAAAATAAATAAAAATTCTTAAAAATCTTTCTAAGCTAATTAATCCATTTTTAATTTGAGGTGATTGAAGTGATGCAAGATGCAGTAAATTAGAAAATCCGCCAATAAGTTTCTCCCTACATAAGCTCCTAATTTTCTTACTAAATTACTATATATGTGGACCTTTGTCTCGAGACAAATACAAGTTAGTTTTATTTCTGCAAGTAATATATCTGGTATTGTAGGAAGAGATTATTACAATATTAACGAGATTTTAAGTTTAAATTTCATTTGAAAGAAATGAATTAGTTTTGTTCCCTTCCAAAAAAAAAAAAAAGTTTAAATTTCATTACGATTATTATTTAAAAGGAAATCATTTAATTAATATTTTATTATGTACATTGCACCAACTAAATATGTATAATATATAACTAATATTGATAATAAATTATATACTTAAAAATATATAAATTATATTTATTAAAAATTATATACATAAATATATTT